AACAGATTCTTAGAGAAAGGAAAATTTTGAGGGTGTCCACATACTTTTGGTACGCACTGTAGTGCAGTAGTGCTCAAGTGGTGATGACCTTGTGAAACAACTAATGTCTCGTAATTGCAACCGCAACTGGCCGCTGTATACAAGAGTAGTTTGTTCAGCTATCGAAAATGATAGAGCTGCTACGTGGTGCGGCAGTGAAGGGAAAATCGAAGGAAACTGCCAAACTTCCGTGTTTCCTTGTCTTTTACGTTCTTCCGCCTACCAAATTGTACATGCTCCTCATTTAATAAGCAACACAAACAAAGTCTGCGAAACAGAGCAAACTGGCAGTAACTGCTCCGATTCTTGGTTTAAGTACGCGTTTTACAGGAGACAGCCCTATTCTACTACATGCAAATGTGACAAATGTGGCACGCGTATTTGCAACTATCTGGCGCGATCCGACGTCGAAAGCGAATACCTTATGAAAAGAAGTGTCCCTATTGGATCAGTATCGCCTTATCCTGGTCAGTTAGTACTTGTTATTTGTTTCAAGTCTGGTTTGATCTGTGAAGCGATGTGAAATGAAAGTCTTACACGGTCCTGCATCAAACTTTTTTTTACAGGAATGAAGACGAACACACTTGTCGAACAGCAACATCCGAAGCCATTTTCTTTTCGTGGAGGCGACAAGTAATAATCGGACACGATTCGAGTTCGCAATCTACGATAAACGATTTGAAGTTGATTTATACTGTTATTGTTACCTCGAAAATCAGTAGAACGAGCGGTTCTCTACTTTATCATCATCAGAACTGCAAAATGAACACACACACGGTACATTATTTATGCACAAAATGTTGAGAGCCGTCATGAAAAATGTATCGGATCATTTCGTCATATGACCGGTAATTTCACTTTCAATAATCCAAAAAAGTGAGTGACAGAAGTTCAGAAGCGCACCTTTTAGATTGTGCAATATGGTGAAGTAATCTATCAAACTAAGAAACGTTAAAGAAAGTATCATATCCCTCAGCTGCTATCGGAGAATAGATACTTCTTCACTCAAATGTGACATTGTGTTAATTCACTATTGCAAATGACCACAAAACAGAGCAGTGATGCGAGTGTACAGCACAATGTCCAACCTGAACTTAAAGGCAGTGATCACAATGCGGAGAGACATTGCGGTTTTGATGATATCATTAAGCACCACTGGTGGAAGGGCGTAAGAGAAGCCGCCAGCGGAAACAGCACTTTTTATGTCCACCATCAATCGTTGGAGTTCTGTTGTTTGTTGTTTTCGTAAACATTCGAAAAACTATTAGGGCTGATATGTGCTCAATCCCGCCGTACATCTGTCACAAATGATGACGGCGAGTAAAAACTTTTTTGACCTTTCTGCCTTTGTCGAGAACGTTTCACTCTTCCACAGCACATTGTTTTATCGATCATTTCGTCTCTATTCTCCAAATCCGAGAGCCCTGATTCTTTCAATGTGTCACCTAATACGTGGTTCCCCGGCGCACTCCCTTCCTCCAGTGATAATAACTGACGTATTCATATTGAGAAGGAATGCAAAAATTTGCCGCGAACGATTCTTTTGAAAAGCGGTCTCGACCATATCCTTCAACACGCTGAGGGCTCAGTAAACTAATGGCTTTCCAAGAATTCATCGAGCTGCATCGCCCTCTAGCCATCACGATCATGCCTTTAATAAAAATATGACCGCCTACAAATGACTACAAAAATCTGGGACAATAATTGCCTGATTCTCTCGCATTTCTGTGAATTTTTCTCAGCGCGGATGAATCCTTGGTGGGGCATAAATGATGGTTGAGCTGGGCTACAAAAAAGCGGTTATACAACATTTAAGACTCTTGAGTGGATCATCCGTTATCATAGTTTTTACAATAATTCTCCGGCTCTATGGTTTCATCGCCTTTACTGTCTGAATGCCTCCACTTCATTCGAATTGTAGAGGATTTTTGTGTACACATAGTGTCGACCGCATTCCTTCCAGAATCTGCTGTCTCTGAAGGTACATCACGAGAACGTCATCCTGCTTTGAATGGATGACGCTTGATGTCATTCCTCTCAGGAATCGAACATGACAGAGGTTCAAGGATAGCCGTGAAAATTTCCGGAAAGCGGCATCAACGCAACAAGTGAGGAACTAGAATAGAGGTGAAAAGTTGTTGCTGGTAGGCATCCACTCGAGCGCAGTTGCATTTGGTGGCAAGTCCGCTATTACACATACGGTCCATTAGAGACCATCCATTTTTGGACTTATTGAAACAATTCATTCAGTGAATAAAGTAACTGATTTTGAAAGAAGCGGGGTCCCACCTGTAGCGATATCTCCTTCTCTTTTCTGCCTAATAATCCTCATCAAAGAAGTGCGCAAATTCCTCTGAGACCAATAGGAGAGTGAAACATAGTGGATTGTAAAGGCCTACCCAATGCATATGATTGGCAGTGAATCCAAAGTATCACTCAAATGATGGGAACAGGTGAAAATCGTGTCGAGTACGTGGTCGCAGAGGTACGACCCCCGCCCCCCCCCGAAATCGAGATCCTGGCACGACCCCCCTCTACACCCCCCTCTAACAGAGCAAATTAATTCAATTAAAATAAATCCTGCAAAGCAAATCAAAAAAAATCTGCAAAATAATGCTAAGGACGCCTCATCTTGTCATCTATGCACGTCTTCCATCGCTGCATACTTTTGTGTACATACTGAAATATCGACTCGAGGAAAGAGGCATTAACTTTGTGTGACCTCAAGGCGAGGTTCGTTCAGAAACGCACAGAAATCCTGAAGACACGGGGTTGCGATTCAATCTTGATTCTTGCTTGAGTATATCAAAACAGCCGAGTGTATCAAAGGCCGATTCAACGGCAGCTGCGGCGCGATTGTCACTGGGTCAGATTTGCCGAAATTTCAAAAAAAAACGTCCGAATCTACACCCTCGATGAAAAGGTTGCATTCCTCCATTTCACAACCTTTGAAGCAGCTTGAGGTAGAGTTAGATAGAGCTGGATTTCGCGTTTCCAACAAGCATCGAAATTGCTCTGGAAGCCTTCCTTGCAGAAAGATAGGGTCTGTCAAATTTCGTCGAGTAAATGTCGAGGAGGCCGAAATTTTCACGCGAGTTTTTGCCACTTCAAGAGCAATATATCTCTTATATTGTAAGATCCTGAAAAAGGGAAGATAGTTTTGGAAAGCGGAAGGTTTGCGCTTCCTGATGGTCTGTTTAGTTTTCTTCTACAGCTTTTTGGTTGAAGAGATAATTGCGTCGAGGATCTATCGAGGTCGGATCCGGCCACCTGGAAATCCGCTCCCTCATTCACCATTGCAAGTGTGACTCGTTGGCAACACTCGGAATGTGTCTAGAACAATATCTTTGAACGCAAACAATAAGAATAGGAGCAATCGTCATCATCCGATTGGTATTGTATAAGCCATCATCCGCTTCTACGACTACCCGCGCGAGAAATCGATAATGAATGGTTATATGATGGGGACCTTCGAACGAAACTGTATTGTAGTAGACATAGTGTGTTGTGCTATTCCTGTAACCTAAAAAACAACTTCATTTGCCCAGCGCTTTTTCTTCACGGTTGTCGTTTTTCCGACAGGGTCCCTAACAACAGCGTCATTCTCAGCGAGGTATTAAGGGAGAAGGAGCGAGTGATAGGCGGAGGAGGTGCCTTTGCAGCGCGTGCGCACATGTGGCAGTCTTTGCGGGGATGCACTTTCATTCTTTGTACTGCCTTCAAATACGCCCTTCTCATGAAGGTGGAGGAATGGAGCGACTGAACCTGCAAAGAAAATTTAATATCATGTTTTTTTTCGGATGTTTTCATTTTCTGCTGCGCTATACCCTATTACCTATCTGCACCATGATACCACTTCTGTTACTGACCCCCAAGAGTACGACCCCCCATGGACCAGCCCAACAGGTACGACCCCCCTGTCGAGGATTTCCTCGACCGATATTCACCCTGATTGGAAGTATGGGAGTAGATTTGGAATGCAAGCTTGAACTCTTCGAAACCTACAAGCTTTCTGAGATGTACAGAGAAAAAGTTGAAAGATGTTGAGGGTTTCTGGTGTTGATCATGAACGTTGCATGCAGGAAGATCGACGGGGAATCCTTGAAATTCTTCAATAATGATCAGAACCATCGCTCGTTTGAAGTGAAGTTTCCGATAAAGACCTGTAAAGTGTCTTACATAATCGACACATCCATTTTATGCAAAGCTTAGTGATGCACTCACTGTGGAGCTCCTCCAGCCACCCTACCCCCTCTCCCTAGACTTATGATTAGGCGAAAATATCCTGCCCCAGATTCAGGAACGCTTTCCCGCGTTCCAGACCGAATCGGCCGGTCCTTAGCTGAGTTACGCACTTCCTGTGTAAACGTTATCAAAACTTTTTCGTCAGCGTTATCAGCGCCCTTGTCCTGAACTTTATTGTTAGTGCCGCAGAGCCCAGTATGGGAGTGGCCCAATGCAATGCTCACCGTTGAACACGCTCTGTTGGTCTGTCTTTCTACAATTTATCCTCCACATGCTAAATGATGGCGGTGGGCAAAGTTAAACATCGGGTTCCCATACTATGCTATTGTTAGGAGACAGCATTCGACAAGAGACGCTCAGAAGGAGTTGGATGGTGCCAAAGATAAAGGAACTGTGAACGGTTGCTAGATCGCTGAGGTCAAATATTTCGCTGCCAATTGCGCGTCGGTCAGCACCCTCAGGAGGTCCGCCTGTCTCCCAACTATGCAATTTTCCTCTTCTTTGGCCTTCGTTCCTATCGTGAACTCCTCCTCCACTGGGTGAGAAGGACCATGTCCAACCTAACATATGCGCATGGATAAGTAGTCTGTGGCGTGACTACAACAGGCATTTGTATACCTACTATTGAACCACTGGGAACGAGTTATTCCTTTTTACCATATACGAGCTCCATAACAAAATAGCCATCGTAGTTTCACAAGAAAGCTAGTTATTAGCGAAGCTTTGGCCCTCGGTGGGATTCGAACCCGCATATCCTGCCTATCTGGCAATTCCGATACTACTTACCAATGAGCTAATTGGTTAAAAAATTAAGTTCATCGTTTATCGTCAAATAATGAGATCATTTCCAGATGTCCACTCAATGTGCACAATCTCCACACATGAACGGAACAACTCCCTCATCTGTTTCCCATCGAATTCCACTTCATCTTTGTGTCCCCTTGAGGCCAGTTTTCGGCCGTCCATGTCACTCTCCGCCAGGATTTAAAGGACACGCAAGACATATATGCATCAATTGTTCTGACATTTGCAGAGTTTTGAGTTATATTAGCAGTTTTTCTCGCCGCGAACGTAGGCTCAAGATGTGTATCATTAGTACTTGAAGGCACAACCCAGGCAGAAGTCGTGTGAACGATTACTTTCGGTCTGCAGGATAGACCCTCAGGGGACGTTAACAAATGCAGCACTCCCATTCACGGAAATCGTTTAACAAGGACGCTTATGGTCTCGCGGAGACAGCTTCAAATGCTTCAATTTTTCCCGCCAGCAGTGTTGTCTGGCCCCTATCATATGTTGCGCTCTCGGTCCATACTCTCCTTTCCGCGCTCAGTCTCCAAGCAAATCCGCATTACGAAGGTGAGCAAGGCCTTCACCTGAGCGTTTCGACAAATGCGACACATTTGTTTGCTTTTTGTTTGGTCCTGGGGCAAGTCTTTAAAGGTATGAAGGAATGTCAGCGCTCGCGCAGCGGAAGATTTGCCCTCAAAGCGCGCCGGGCTTCTTCAGAGGATTTCGAGGTGTCAGCATGGCCAAAAGACGATCCCATTACACATCCAGATCGCATTGGGATAGTGACGCAACGATTATCCGTATTAGGTCATCTTAGTTCTTTGCCGTATGAGGATGGAGAGTTTCGACGGCTTCAACGGTTTCGTTTCCGCTATCGAACGCTTCGATCAACACCGGCGACCCACATACGCCAGCTATCTTTCCATCGAAGTCGTCGTCGCCTGGATCGTGGATTTCTTCGCCGGCTTCCATCAGGTCATGGCTTACCTATCCCTCAGTAATTTCCTGCCGATGAATGAGCGCCAGAAAAAACGCAAGAAACTGGTACGTCGACATCAGGGATGCGTTATACTAGCTCGAAGCCAAGTGATGAGTTATTTTTCCTTTTGCAGCACCTACAAACATATCAGGATCCCAAATCCTCGGTCCCATGCATGAGCACTTTTCGTGGTGGTGGTAGCTCGCCACATTTAGGGTCAGTTCTTTTGCCAATTATGCATCTGCTTGGGCTCATTTAATAGCACTTGATTGCCTCTCTTGGGAGCTTTCAACGCTGCCATCCTCACAGGCTGAAAAGTAGTTTGTTCCTTCAAATAGGCGATGCTAGTAACAACTATAGCTATACATAAAAATATAAAAAAGCAAAATTCTTCAAGGGAATGTTGACGATTTGCTTTTGGGAACCATGAATCACAGAGTGGGAGGAGGTCCAAAATGAACTTGTTCTCATTGCGTTTTCAACTGTCACTTTGCTGGTGTTTCGCATTTATCTTCACTTTGGAGAACTTCCTGTTTCGACATTTCAAGGGATATAATTTTGACATCGGCGCGGGGAGATGTAACAAGGCTTTTTATCTCACATCACTATGCAACGTTGGCCTGACTCCTAACGTGGAATGTGAGAGGAAGTAATATGTAAGACCACTAGAAAATAGGCTTGTATTTTATGGCGAACGAAATTCAGAAGGATTCTTGCTAAGGAACTTTAAGTGGATCATACGTTCCATGAGGCCCTTTGTTGTGGCGTGCCAGGAGATCAGTATGTATGAAACCCCTCACAAACAGTGCCAATCCCGGTCAAGCCTGTGAGGCTTCTTACACCCAATGTCTGGACCCGAACAGCTGAACCTCTCACAGGGAACAGGGAGGAAACACTCATTAATATTGACCTAACTTCTGGAGAATAACTTACTCTGTTTCGTTGAAGCAAAATTTCCGGAGGTTTTCCTCCTGAGGGCTTCAGATGTCAACACGATGAAACAGACCTTTTCACTTGTGCTAGATGGCAGCATGCACTCCTTGCAGATGAGGCCAATGCTCCGTCAGGCCTACAGTATCTTCGCCTTTCATGTACTTTTCTCAACTGTTTTATTTATAGATGGCTACTCCATACTCCTACTGAAGAAGTGCTTTCGACGGAGGTTGCTGATGTTGAGCAGACTGAGAAAGAAAACGAATTAGTGGAGAATATTGTAATAGTTTCTCATAAATTCTGACTTTTCATAGCAGTGATCACGACTGCCGATTTTGTTGACGTCATAGTACGAAATACCTTGTGGATAGACCCTTCTGGCTGTGGTAGCGGTTGGGGCACCCCTTAAGTAGGTGTTCATTAACGGCCTATCCTCATGGCGTTCAAGTTAGAAGCCAATAACCCCCCGAATCCATTCGTCGGGGTCGACTCCTTTAAATACATGTATATTGCCTATTCTTTCTAGCAAAAATAGAAGATTTGACAACGCGCTTCCTAATGTTTGATTGGCAAGCACTAGTTAGCTGCTATGCAGCAGGCAATTTTGCGCGCCATCCTGCTTGGTTCTCTAGATAAGCCCCGAAGCTTTAACGGCCTCCATGAAGAATGGAAACGTACACTAGCCGCTGTAGGAGACCGATTCCTTCCATTTGACGCAAAATCACGTGCTCACACATGGATGTACTACACCACTGAGTACATTTTGTATCATAAGCACTTTCGCATAAGCTAATATTAAATATTTAAACTATACACAAGATGGAGTACTATAAATTGCTATTCAAGGAAGACCCTCCCATCGAATCTGCGCAATTATGAGAACACTCTCGGGCTTCCACGGTTCTTCGAGCCAGACGACTTCAAGGACACAGTACCGATCGCGGTAAGTCGATCATTCAGAAAAGAGTTGATCTATCTTCCTTCAGATTACTTTCATTCATAGGGAATTATTTCTGCTAGTTTCTGATGGTTTCTTCACCCGGTAACAAAAGTATTTTCCGATATTTTTCGCGGTCATTGAGCGTCCATAGTTGGCGATCGTACTTGCAATTATGCGATTGGGAGATTAGTCTATAACGAAAAATATACGTATAGACTAGGCGATTAGGCGAAGTATACGCATAGATTAGCGACTAGGCGAGTAGGCGATTCGAGCGGGAGTGAAATCTTTAGAGCTTGATTTGTTGATGTGAACTTTAACTAACTTAATTTAGTAGTCAGTGATTAGTTACTTAATTACGTCACTATGCCTTCATTTTATTTCTACTTCTCTGGCAACTGATAATGATAAAGATAATGCTAAAAGGACCACATGCATATTAGCTTCCTGGCTATACACTAAACTATTGGTTGATAGAGCAGGACTTGTCAAGGAGCTAAACAAAATCTAGTTCTGGTAATTGCCCGCCTACTCCTCTAATCGATACGTATCCTTCTCTTATCGCCTACTCACCTACTCGCCTAATCGACTACTCGCATTTACGATCGCCAACTATGAACACTTCTTTAGACTTTTTGGCTTTTTTTTCGTTCATGCTACTATGTCTCCTGGATCATTTTTAGTCCGCAGGCCTAGGGCTACAGGAACTGAGCGTCTCGGGAAATTCGTATAAGCGCCACGACCACTATCTAGTAGCAAGGACTGGAACCCATGAACATAAAGTTCACTGTATCCACCTCCACGAGTTTCTATCGCGTAATCAAGTTTTAAAGTCCCATAAACGGAACTTTAGATGAATGAATGGGGCAGCGTTTCTCTGAAAGGCTTACACTTTACTGTTACCTTTTGAACACCTGCTATTCCGTCAATGAATGCGATCAATGCAGCTTTGTCTTCCCATCGCAAAGGAGAACATAGAAAAAATTAGAAATAAGTCCTGCGAAAAAAGCGCGATGTCAAAACGTTCACAACACAGATCCCTACTAAATGCTGTTGTGGTTTGCAAGTTCCAGTGGCATACTGCTGACAGTTGTTGGATATTAGCACTTTAGAATCGGGATCAGCCATAGATCCCGCATGATTTTTACCTCTGTGATAGCTTACCCTAAACAAGCATTTACCGATACAATAGCATGAGGGATGACTAACAATAAGGAAGGTCCCAAATTTTTCGTCCTGTCTCGTCCGTTATGGCAAGAGCAGGGCCTCTTAGCCTTCGTCAGACTTGAAAATTGGAAGGCCATTATTCCGATTCTTTTGTTGCCTGAATGGCCTGAAGACACTCCCTCAAGAATGAGATCAACAGAACCGAAACCCATACATTGGTGATGTGACTTCTGCGGCTGAAACCCCACACATAGATAGGAATTTTGCAACCCCTTTTCATGTCTTCGTTCGTTTTCAAGTTCCGGAGACCGAAGAACCCCTTTCGGAAAAAGGTGGGAGGAAACACCACAAGAACAAGATTCTCAGGGATCGTTCACGGTGCAAAAATGGACCCAAGGAAAATTTTATCCGCCCTGCTCTTTGCCTTGTGACGACTGGCCGATGCCCATTTACTGTGCATTTCCCCTCCCAAGCAAGCCTGCAGCCAATAAATGGCCTGAAGAAATGGGCTTCATGTTTAGCTGGGGAAGTCGAGCCAGACTCAATCCAAAGGGGGTCTGTATGAGGTCGATCAACCGCTGTTTGACTTCCCCTAACTTCATTTCTTTGATATAACTTTCCTAATAGTGATGCAGTTCGGTAAAGTCAGAAGGGTTTAGGTTTGCTACATTTATCGGAACGTGGAGTTGCTGCTATCACTAGGACAAGATGACTCGAAAGCGGGATTTTCGGTGGTGACAACAGCGGAAGGATGCGAAATCAATCATATCACTCCAGGTTTGGTTTAGCCTTTCGTTTTTCTATTTTTTGATCTTATGGTGAGTAATTATTCGTACAGGTTGAGACTCTACAACCTTACTACATATAATATTTTGGGTCATAGCAAGAGTAAACTTATGGCCGTATCTCTGATCTTATCCGCTTATTTGTTTATTCAGTGTTTATTCAGTGTTGATTTAGTGTCTGCCTCTCCTACCCTCTATGTAAGAGCCCGTCATTTGGGTTGTAGATAAATACCTGAATGGAAATGTAACGGCCGCCATCGAAATGAATTATAACTCGATAAAGGCCTCACTGAATACGTTCATTCTAATTCAAATTCGAATTTATTCTTTCTTCTGATGCAACAGTGAAAGAGAGTACGAGAAAGAAAGAAAATAAAAAAGTTACCATGGAACGTTTGTGTGCACCTGCGCAGTCTTATTGCCGAATTCATGGCGCACTCTATTTCGAAATGTGTTCAGGGTCTATAACCCATTTGACGCCGATACGTCTGATTAATTTATGAGTAATTTTTTTAAATCGCCCAAATTAGTCAAAAATTATACGTCTTATTCTTTTGAGAAAATTATCGCGGAAGTGCTTTTGTTCCTTATTTTCCATCATATAAGAGAAAGGCACCAGAGGCCTATCCCTTCGACAGCCACCTACTAAGCACTCCAATCAGGTTGAAAAATTCTTTGGCAGTTCTCATCCTCTTGAAACATTACATTTTTCCTTTTATTTTTTATTTTTTCTCACTTACAAAAATATACCCGATCAAATAAAGGACAAGCCATTGGAATTGATCAGACTCATTTTGTGATGAGCCACGCACC